TGAACTAGAGAGAGAGAGAGAGAGTGTGTGTGTGTGTATCCAAATCAACACAGCCAATATTCTGAAAGCAATTACATGCCCAATTACCAGGTCACTATTGTGACTAGCCTCTGATAGCTAACTCGAGACAAACAGTAATTTAATAGGCTTGTCACTACCACAGCAACCATCCCGTTCTTGAGAACTTGTGAAGAAGATTGATTTAATAGTTTTTGAATGAAATAAACTTTAGCTCCTTGAGTATGAAAAAACATTATCACCTTTAATATGAAATAAGACAAATATATTTACCATCTAAGTTTCTGAAACTTCAAAGGGAGATGAGATAGGATAACCTGTAAAATAACATTCATAAATCAGAAAAATCTAGATTTAGAAAACAAAATTGACACAAATAACATGGGCACCAAACTTCAAAGAAACATGCAGGAAAAATTATTGTTGGAAAACTAAGAGTTTAAGAGTCAACATCACTAAATCATCAAATGTGGTCAAACAAAGAGTTATGAATCTAAGCTCTATTTTGTACCTTTCTTTGACTATAAATACTAGGCTCTTGTAAACTATCCAATCAAGTAATCAAGCAATCCTTTTAATCTTCTATTATAATATTTTATCTGTCAATCCCTAGTTATTGTCATATGTTCTTTACTTGCAGCTTCCACATTTCAGGCAGGTGGTAGATCTTTGCCAACTGTTGACCTCTGAACTCATTAATTCTTATCATGGCATCACCGCCGCATTTCAGGGCTTCAGGCTTCTTTCTGGCATGTTTCAGGTGAGATTACTGTCCAAATAAATGATTGCTAGTGGTCAGTATATATCTGCCTCTAATGCAAGCTATAAACAGTCTTCTCCTGTACACTTGAATAGTTGAATTCCACCTATCTTATTAAAAATATTGCTCCTAATGGTCATCGTTCTATAATTTAAACAATATACAGTATTACTACTCCTAAGAACTCCATTAAATTATATTGGAGGCTTCATTAAAATGGCTTGTTAGGCAAGGAAGTAGCTGAACTAGTAATAACACCTGACACTATGATTCATCTCTCATGTCAAATCCACCTCAACCCCACAGCATGAAGAAGAGAATTGAAAAGTGAAAAGAAAAGGAAAGTACAATAATTAATAGGATTCAAAAGGTGCAATTTTCTAGAGCACCACTTTCTGTAATTCTTTGAGGGGTGATATGAAACTCTATAGCCAATACTCAGTAGAACAAAAGTGGTAAGTTGCCAAACAGGTCATGACGGGTATCAGATTAACTACAAGGTGTGGGCTTAGTTTGTTTGGAAAGAGAGGCGATGAGTGAAGTTCACTATGCACTGAATAGTCATTCAGTTGATCAGGAGAACACAAACTCTACATGCAAAATAATGAAAATGTATATAAAAAGGAAAGCACAAACAACCAGCACTAATGGAAAAAGAAAAGCAGTCTACCCATTTAAATGTCTTGGGTGCCAAGACTTTAAGTAACTTTTTAACCTGACACCAGTAAGCTAAAAACTAAAACATCAAGCGTGCATTCTACTTAATGTGAAAAAGCAGAATTAATTTGCCAAACATACATTTTAGTTTGTAAAGCTAATGGACAGGTGATCATGAAAGCATTACATGCAAAAAGACTTACAATATGAAATTTACAGGGTGCAATACAGTACCTTGTGTGCTTGTGGTAACTTTCTGAAAGATCTTTCATATCTTTTTATATCTTCCTCCGAAGCTTCAGGATAGCTGCAAAGCAATTTGTTCAAGACGTTAACAGGTAAAAGTACCAAAACTGTAGACTTTAACATGTAATTTCCAATGGCACAGAGCACCATGATTACTAGAGTAAATAGACCAGAGAAAACTATCTAGAACACTAATATTCAATGTACCGACATTCCCAAAAAAAAAAAAAAAAAAAAAAAAAAAAGAATAGCAACAGACCAACTACTGAACAGAAGAACAAGGCTTAATCCTTAAACCCCAGGGTATAGGTAATTGATGAGGCATCGAGATATTAATCCTATTACTATCAAACGCAAAATACTTGAGAATTATTTTTTATTTTTTATTCACATTTAAAACGTGCATATCCAGTATATATACGTGAGTACATACTTGATGTATGCGCTAATGATGCGCCTTAGGGCTTTAACTTCTAAGGCTTCTTCGAGTTTCCTCCGACGCTCCACGGCTTCAGCTTCGGCTTCGGCTTCGGTGTTCAACATTTCCGACGACCCCTCTTCGACTGTATCTCCGACAGAGTATGCTGCTACAGTTCAACCTGTTGAATGGAAATCCCCTTCAATCTTCAGGCTAGCAAATATGCTCCCCTACCTATAATAAATAACAATTCACTCTGAAATCTGAATTTTTTAAAAAAAAAAAATTAATTGAATTTCTTCCACCGATATTCCATAAATACCCTTTCGTTTTTCTAGGGTGCTTTGGTTCCCAGAAAAGATGGTGGCAAACTGGAAATTCTTAGAGCCAATTAAATCATAAGTTCATAATGGAAAAAGAGGCACGGAAAATGTAGCGAAATTGTGAAATATGATTCTCTTATTTGAACGTCACAAAACTTTATAAAATTGAGTATTTAAATTTTTTAATCAATAAATGTAAATCTTGAATTAATACTAAACTTATAATTAGGCTTTGGTGATTTTACTTGTGTAACAGCCTTATAAGAAAGAACAAAATCAGAAGAGGGATATGGAAGAAGAATAGAGTTAGGGTTTGAGAGAAAGCAAAGAGAGTGAAGAGGAAATATAAATTTCATTCAAATCTTAACATAAAAATCCCATCATTACACTCCCTTGCTATATATAATCCACGGAAAAACTAACTCTCTAAAATCTCAACTGAATTCAATTAAAATAAATAAAATGGCAAATTGAATATCAAATATGCTCAGGATTGCAAAACAACGTCGTTGGATAGGACCAATTGATGCTAACCACTTGCCTCAAAATGACGTCGTCCAAGCCTTTATCAACGACCTCTAATTGTTGCTTCATACGACGTCGTTTCTTGCCCAGCTTGCTCCCGTCCCAGTTCAGCATTCTTCTTCCTTCCCTTTGCTTTCTTAAGCTTTCTCCTCTGCTTCTTCTCATTTGGTCCACCTTCCAGGGCTGTTACAACACCCCTCCTTGTAGATCGTTGTCCCTAAGGATCAAACATGGGAAATTAGCTTAGCACGTGATAGATAGTTTTCCCAAGTTGCCTCTTCCTTAGGTAAGTTAGTCCATTGCATTAAAATCTACACAATTGCCTTATTGTTCCTCTTGACCAACCCCTTCTCCAATGCAGCAACTGGTTGAGCTAAGACTTGCCCTTCATGACCAACTAAAGGTTGATTCATTTGTGGAACAACCCCATCTCCAATCCTCTTTTTAACTGTGAAATGTGAAACACGGGGTGCAATAGAGTTCTTAGTGGCAGTAGTAACTTGTAAGCAACATCTCCAATTTTCTCAATCACTTGGTAAGGTCCAAAGTACCTTGAAGAGAGTTTAAGATTGTTTCTTACTGCCACTGAAACTTGCCTATAAGGCTTAATTTTGAGGTACACCAAATCCCAGCCCTATCTCCAATGATCTTTCACTTATTCCCTTGTCTGGTTGTTGTTTCATCCTATTTTGAGCTTGCTATAAATTTTCCTTCAATGTTGTTGACGGTAATAACGTTATCGGTAAATAATAATAACGATAATCTAATAGCGATGTGTCAGAGAGACAATAGTGGTATTGCTCTAGTTCTTAGTATAGAAAGTACCGTGTGTCTTTGCTAGCTGAGGAGATCCCTATTTATACTTAGAGTCCCAACGGTAACAACACGGACATAAATGAGGAGCCTGGTCTTTAAGTCTCTCTCATCAATGGGGGCTTCAATGCTGTCTTCAATGTCAGTAAAGGTGGCACCTGTTGGGATTCCTGACCGTTGGAGTTTCTATTCGTTGGGTTCCCATGTGACGCTGAGTCAAGAGTCCATGCCCATTTGTGATCCGGGTCGGGTGCCAGCCTATTATCCTGTCACCAGTCCCCCCTACTCCTGAGTCAACGGATGTGTTTGGGTTGACTTGGGAGTAAAGTTGATTTTATTCGATCCTGTATAGAATTCTGCTTGATTTAGAATATGTGATTTTATTTTCCAAATCCCTAATTTGCCTTCCAAATCACTGATTTAAGCTTTCCAAATCCTTTCCTGCTTCACTTTACTTTTTTATCTCCACCACCTCTTCAATATAAAGCCCTGCCTGCGAGTAGTTTGAGAGCACTTTCGCAACAACTTCTTGCCACAGCTCTGTAAGTCTTTGCTGTCGTTATTATCTCGTATTTTATTTAATATATATAAATATATATTTATTTATTTATTTATTTATTATTTTTATTATTATTATTATTAAATTTTTTTATTTATTTATTTTTTTTATTTTTTTTATTTTTTATTTTTTTGCCTAGGCGCAGGGCCTTGGGTTGTGGCCGAGGCGTGCTCCTTGGCCATTTGGCCGAGGCGTGGCCTCGGCCTGTGACCGGGGCGCGGCCTCGGCCTGTGGCCGAGGCGCGGCCTCGACCTGTGGCCGAGGCGCGGCCTCGACCAGGCGGCCGAGGCGCGGCCTCGACCAGGCGGCCGAGGCGCGGCCTCGACCAGGCGGCCGAGGCGCGGCCTCGACCAGGCGGCCGAGGCGTGCTCCTCGGCCATTTGGCCGAGGCGTGGCCTCGGCCTGTGGCCGAGGCGCGGCCTCGGCCTTAGCAAATTTTTTTTTTTTTTTTTTTTTTTTAAGGCGCAAAGGCGTCGCCTCCTCGGCCATTTGGCCGAGGCGTGGCCGAGGCCTGTGGCCGGGGCGCGGCCTCGGCCTGTGGCCGAGGCGTGCTCCTCGGCCACGTTTCACGTTTTTTTTTTTTTTTTTTTTTTTTTGATATGCTTCGTTCCTGACAGGTACTTTCGTACCCGAGGCTTGCTAGCTTATTTGTAATCGTGAGGTTAGTGTCTTTGCTTTATGATGGATGCCACTCCTCTTATTGATATTGGAGAACTTGATTTTGATGAAGAATACCTTTGTGATGATTCCCCTCTTGATAATTTTCCCCCTATCCCGTTTTCTGTTGGTTCGTCCACACCTGGGCCCCAACAAAAAAGGAAGAAAAAACGCAAGGCTTCATACTCCGCTCTTGATAAGTCCCTTATCTTGTCCATACGACCTCAATTAGGGGGGCGGGATTGGGATGATATTAGTGGTCTCCTTAGTCCTGACGTTCTGACTCTCCCCCCTGACCCTCGGGGTAATATCACCGAGCCACCCATAGATAAGTATTTTGGGGTCCACCTTTTGTCGCTACAAGTTGGGTTGCGGTTTCCCCTCAATAGGTTTGTGGTAGAGTTTATGAACCACTACGAGATAGCCCCCGGCCAGCTTGTTCCCAATGGTCACCAGGTAATTGCGGGCTTTCTTGCTCTATGTAAGGACAAAGGGATAGAACCCACGCTAGATCTCTTCCAAGCTTTTTTCATAGTTGGTAGGGCTTCTCAGGAGGGTAAGGGATTCGTCCAGATTTCGAGCAGGCCACATTTCAAACTTTTTGAGGACCGTCCTACTTATAACAAGGATTGGAAACCAAAATATTTCTTTGTCACCCTCGTGGGTTGTCCGTCTCCCTTTCGTTTCTCGTGGGGATCCCATTTACGTTGTCCTCCCACTCTCGACATGAGTCCCTCCCTCCGCCGAGATGTAGATGATTTATTGGGAGATGGTCTTCTATCGATAGCTGATTATACTGCCGAGTGGAAGCTCGCGGGCTTAGGCTTCGTGAGGGCTCGTCCAGCTGTTCTTTCACCCACGGGTACTCTTCAGTTATCCTTCGGCATTTATTCGTCAACTACTAACTCTAACTTGTCTTCTTTTTATTGCAGGTACCATGTCTTCATCTTCGAGAACTAACCGATACTTGTCGCGACCGGATCCCCCCCCTAAGAAGAGCAAGGTGGAGAAAGGAAAAAGGAGTCAAGCCGAGGCCACGGAGGTGATGCCGCCTCCGCCAACACGCACGCCGACCCCATCCAAGATCGCGCGGACCCCGTCCAAGATCGTTGAGCGTACGCCTACCCCAACAAAGGTCACTGAGAGGGTGCGTACACCTGCTTCAGCCAAGGTTGACGAGGGGGTGACGGGGCCTCCACCGACTCGCACACCTACGGCCGTTACCTTTTCCCCTCAACCCCCCGAGGTGCAAGGAGACACTTCCAATGAGTCTAGCTCGCGTGTCCGGACCAACTTGATTCGATTGGGAATGGACGTGCCACCCGGAGCGTCGTTGATAAACAAGAGTCTTGACGCGGTTGAGTATGCTGCCCGTATCGCTCCTCCTGCGGACGTGGAACACCTTGTAGCCATGGATGTCAACATGCTGCAAGAGCGTTATCTCAGGCACAGTTTTGAGGTTAGTGTTTTTCATACTTAATGTTCCTCTCTGCCCTGGCGTGTGTCTTACGTTGTTTACTTTCAGGCCCTGCTAGAGGGACAGATCATTCATGACCAACGAGGGCGGGTGATGGACTCGCTCATTGAGGATGTTAAAATCAGGGACGCGGACAACAAAAGCCTCAAGGACTTGCTATCGATCCGGGAAGGGGCCTTGAGCAAGATGGAAGGCGAGCTTGGGGCGCTAAGGAAGGAACACCAAGCATTGTTGGCTCGGGCAGAGGCTATAAGCAAGATGGAGGGCGAGCTTGAAGCCCTAAGGAAGGAGCACGAAGCGGCTAAACTCGCCATTGTGAAGGAGCGGGAGGACCACGAGAGGACCCGTGCTGGCCACGCCGACGCCCTCGGCCGGGCTGTGGAGGTCTATAAGGATTCCGCCGAGTTTAAAGAGGACGTGATGCGCTATATGACTACTCCTGAGGCCATCCAGGAATTCCTCAAAACTGGGGCCGGTCAAGAAGCGGTGGAGGCCGAGGCACATGTGGCTTTTAGCATTGGGCGGTACACGAAGCAACAGGAGCTCTTTTCAATGCTGAAGGAGAAGGTTCCGAATTTTGACCCCGTGTCCCTTGGCTTGCCTATAATAGAGAAGAATCCGGATCCTGATGCTGAGGATGAATCCACACATGATGTTACGGGCGCTCGTGAGGACTCATTGGACGAGTTTCACGGCATTGATACTAGCAACGTCGCCAATGTTCCACTTGATCACATTATGATTGAGGAGTTCTCAGATCATGAGTAGCTTGTAGTCTTGGGATTTTCCCTTGCTTTCTAGCTTCGTTGTTGAACAATTTGTTTCTGTGTTTGGATAACTTGCTGATGTTTTTAAAATATTCGAAATAAACTAGTTACTTCGGAATTATCATGCTTTTTTTTTTTTTTTTTTTTTTTTTTGAGGCGCAGGGCCTTGGGCCGTGGGCGAGACGTTGCCTCGGCATGTGGCTGAGGCATGGCCTCAGCCATCTGGCCGAGGCGTCGCCTCGACCAGGAAGGCCGAGGCACGGCCCCGGCCATCTGGCCGAGGCGAGTGCCTCGGCTACTTGGCCGAGGCGCGACCTCGACCACCATCTGGCCGAGGCGAGTGCCTCGGCTACTTGGCCGAGGCGTGGCCTCGGCCTGTGGCCGAGGCGCGGCCTCGACCAGGCAGCCGAGTCGCGTGCCTCGGCTGAGGCTGAGGCGCGGCCTCAGCCAAATTTTATTTTATTTTATTTTTTTTTTAACATGGGCGGACCATGAGCACGAAATATCGTTTCGGAAAATTTTGTAAAAGATGGTACAAAACCTGTTTTATTAAGCAACATGGACGGACCATGAAAGTAAGGTACCATTTTCTAGACTCTTAGTATGTAGAGCGGACGGACCGCGATCGCCAAGCACTATCTCTAACGATTGCTATTACAAGGTTTTTAAGGAAAGTACTTGATCAAATGTTCCGAGTTCCATACCCGGTCAATCATTCTTCCCCCCGTAGTTTTTAACTTGTATGTCCCTGGGCGAACGACCTCCTCCACGACGTAAGGCCCCTCCCACTTTTTTGGCGAATTTTCCCCCTTCAAGGGGTTGGCTGGCTTCCCTTCTTCGCAGCACAAGGTCGCCGACTTGGAAGTAACGGGGTCGGACTTTCGCGTCGTGGTAGGACTTTAGCTGGCGACCGTAGTTCTCCATTTTGCAGAATGCCGCCTCTCTCTTTTCATCCAAAAAGTTTAGATCCACCCTTTGGTGGAGTTCATTTTGCTCTGACTCGAATTCCTCCACCCTTATACTAGGTATGATCACTTCCACCGGGGCCCGAGCTTCAAATCCGTAGGCGAGTGCGAACGGGGTTTCTCCGGTGGCCCTTCTTGGTGTCGTGCGATAGGCCCAGAGGATGCCATCGAGTTCCTCCACCCAGGCTCCGCCGGCTACTTCTAGCTTCTTCTTGAGGCCGTCGAGGATGGTTCTATTCGCATTCTCTACTTGCCCATTCGCCTGAGGATAAGATACCGCCACCCGGCTATGCTTAACGCCCCATCCTGCTAGGAATTCTGAAAATTCTCGTGCCTCGAACTGACGACCATTGTCTGTGATTACCTGGAAGGGGATGCCGAAACGATATAGGATATTTTTCTCGACAAACCTTTTGCACCTTGCTGCAGTGATGCTCGCTAGGGGCTCGGCCTCCACCCATTTCGTGAAATAGTCAATGGCCACGATGATGTACTTTCTGCTTCCAGTCCCCGTGGGAAGGGCCCCTACCAGGTCAATTCCCCATCTTGAAAAAGGAATTGCGGTGCTTACCGGGGTGTAATTCGTCGCAGGTCGACCCGGCAGTGCTTGGAATTCTTGGCACTTGGGACATCGCTTTGTATATTCGGCGCAATCCCTCAACATTTTGGGCCAAAAATACCCTTGTAGCATGATGCGGCGCGCAATGGTGTACGCCCCTTGATGCGCGGAGCATACTCCCTCGTGGACTTCTTTTATCACCAACTTCGCTTCATCTGGATATAGACACCTTAGTAACGTGCCGTTGTAGGAGCGTTTGTACAACTTATCGCCCGAAACAACGTAGCTAGGTGCCCGTAACTTCGTTACCTTGGCGTCTGCCTCGTCTTGTGGTAGGGTGCCATCTGCCTTGTATCGCTTGATATGATCAATCCAACACGGCTCCCTAGTCTGCACAGGGAAGACCCACGAGACGTCAATACTTGAAGTCTCGAGGTCTTCTAGTCGAGCGATCTTCCTAATATGGCTGGGGACTCCGGTACTTAGCTTTGAGAGCATGTCGGCGTCGGCGTTCTGCTCTCTCGGTACCTGGTGTATCTCATATCCCTCGAACTCGCGCAAGGTTCTCAACACCGCGTCTCTGTATTTCTGCATGCTTCCTTCGTTGGCTTCATACTCCCCGAACACCTGGCTGACCACCAGCTTGGAATCGCATCGAATTCGGACCTTTTCAGCTCGTAGTCCTGCCGCCAATCGCAGTCCATTGAGGAGGGCCTCGTACTCCGCCTCATTGTTAGACAACTTGAAGTGGAATCGGATGGCATAGTAGGCGCGGAATCCCTCCGGAGTGACGAGCACCACGCCGCCGCCGCAGCCCTTGCTGTTGGAAGAGCCGTCTGTGGACAAAGTCCACCACCCTCCATCTTCAGTTTCCACTTGGTCCGTCACTTCCCGAGCGGTGCATTCCACTATAAAGTCTGCAAGAGCTTGGCCTTTGATGGCGGGCCTCGGTTTAAAATCTATGTCAAACTGACTGAGGTGCATGGCCCACCGTGCCATCCTGGCGGAACTGTTGGTATTCCGTAGGAAGCTTCCCAACGGCTGATGTGAAAGTACATGGATGGGGTGAGCTTGGAAGTAGTGAGCCAACCTTTTTGATGAGGTGACTATGGCAAATACTGTTTTCTCCAACACACTGTACCGGAGCTCCGCGTCGTGTAGGGCTTTGCTTACGTAGTAGATGGGACGCTGAGTCCCTCTTTCCTCTTTGACCAGCACGGAGCTGATCGCACCCTGTGACACGCCCAAGTACAGAATTAGGGTTTCACCTGCCTCTGGCTTTGCAAGCAGGGGCGGGGACAACAAGTATTTTTTCAACTCTTCGAAGGCCTTTTGACAGTCTGACGTCCACTCGAACCCTTTGCTCTTTTTCAAGATTTGGAAGAAGGGGAGGGATCGTTCAGCCGATTTCGACAGAAAACGGCCTAAGGCCGCCAGACGCCCGTTGAGTCTCTGGACCTCCTTTATGGACCGCGGAGGCTCCATGTCAAGGATAGTCCTTACTTTTTCTGGATTCGGCTCAATGCCGTTCCTGGTGACCATGAAGCCCAAAAATTTGCCCCCATTAACGGCGAAGGTGCATTTTTTTGGGTTCAAGCGCAAATTAAATTTTTTCATAATGGAAAATACCTCGCTGAGATCCTCGGCATGGGAAGTGGCCTTGCGACTTTTGACGATCATGTCGTCCACGTATGCTTCCATGTTTCGTCCCAGTACTGACTTGAACAGCTTTGCCACCATGCGAGTGTATGTGGCCCCGGCATTCTTCAATCCGAACGGCATGACCAAGTAGCAGAATATCCCTTCGTGAGTGGTGAAGGCGGTCTTCTCTGCGTCCTCCTCATGCATGGATATCTGATGGTACCCACGGAAGGCGTCCATGAAGCTCATGAGTTCACATCCTGCCGTCTCATCCACCAATTGATCTATATTGGGTAGTGGAAAACGGTCCATAGGGCATGCCCTATTGAGGTCCGTGTAGTCCACGCACATCCTCCATGTCGATCCTTTGGGAGCTAAGACTACGTTGCTCAGCCACTGTGGGTAGTAAATTTCCTTGATGTGCCCTACGTTGAGTAATGCGGTCACCTCCTTTTTCACGAACTCTCTTCGTTCTGCCGACATATACCTTTTTCGCTGATGCACTGGTTTTTTGCTGGGGTCGACCGCGAGCTTGTGGGTTATGATCCTTCGATCTATTCCCGGCATGTCCTCTGGCCCCCACGCGAACACCGTGTGAGAACGGCGAATTACATCCACTATTTGGGCCCTTAGCTCTGGGCTTAAGCCTGTGCCGATCTTCACCACTCGGTCTGGTCTGGAGGGATCGAGAACTATGTCTTCTGTCTCTGACACGGGCTCGGCGCGGGGCCAGGCCTCTTCTTCTTTGAAAATTTTCTCCGCGATCGTGTGGACCTGTAAGTCCTTGCTGCCGATCTTCTTGCACGCCTTCACGTAGCAACTCCGGGCTGCCCGTCGGTCGCCTCTGACGACTCCTATTCCATTCGGAGTGGGGAACTTCATACACAGGTGTTCCACAGATATTATGGCCTTGAGGTCCTCTAGTACTGGCCTTCCCAGTATGATGTTGTGGGCACAAGTGAGCCTTACCACGATGAACTCCATGTCCAGCTTGCGAGCGTTGGGGCTCGTGCCTATCTCCACGGGCAGGGTCACCGACCCTTCTGTTTCCACCGAATCCCCAGTAAACCCAGAGAGTGGAGTTCGTACCTCTTTGAGCTGGCCTCTAGGTAACCCTAACTTAGTGAAGGCGTCGTAGTACATCACGTTAACCGAGCTTCCCGTGTCGACCAAGATGCGATGTACGATCGTATCATTGATGTCCATCTTAATCACCAGTGCGTCGCGATGGGGTAAGGGGCCCTCGGGGAGGTCCTCGTCAGAGAAAGTGATGGCCTCCCGCCTCTGCTTCTTCCCTTTGGGAAGACTCACCACTTCTCCTACGTACAGCTGCCTGCTCCACTTCTTCCTCTCTGTGGGTGTGTCGCCGCCAGCTGGTCCACCGTAGATGAAATGTATGGTGTGTTTCTTTTGTCGTCTGGGCGCCATCTCGGTTTCCTTCTCGCTGTCATCCTCCTCCGATATCTGGTCGTGCTCCCTTTTCTTGGCGTTCGAGGTGGATGGCTCGGCCCCATCCCCCTTCCTCCAGACATTCTTTGGTGGATTTTTTGATGGATCGTGCTGCGGCTGTTGCTGCTGCCTGGATCGCTTGACAAAATGCCGGAAGTAGCCCTGCTGGATGAGTTCTTCTATCTGTCTCTTTAGCACATTACATTCGTCCGTGTCATGCCCGGGTTGCCTATGGAACCTGCAGTACTTTGCTTGGTCCCCTTTCGGGGAGACCTTCATGCATTCCGGTGGGAACTCGACTATTCCCATCTCCTCAGCCTGTTTTAGGATGACACTGACGGGATGGGTAAGCGGAGTTAGGTTACGCAAGGGAACCAGGCGAGGCCG